TAGATTGAATAAGTATGGGGAAAGGATACAACCCTGATGCACTCCCTTCTTGATTTTAAACCATGTAGTGTCCCCTTGTTCCGTTCAAACAACAGCCTCCTGGTAAATGTAGAGGTTTCTCATGGTACAATCAAGTGTTTGGGAATTCCCATTCTTCTCAATGTGATCCATAATTTGTCATGATGCACACAATCAAATGCCTTGCACAGTCAATAAAACACAAGTAAACATCTTTCTGGTATTCTTGGCCTTGAGCCAAGATCCATCTGACAGCAGCTATGATATCCCTTGTTCCACGTCCTCTTCTGAATCCAGCTTCCACCTCTGCAAGTTCTGTCAGTAGAGTGCTGCAACCATTTTTGAATTATCTTCAGCAGTATCTTACTTGCATGTGATATTAATATTGTTCAATAATTTCCACATTCTGTGGGATCACCTTTCTTTGGAGTGGGTACAAATATGAATCTCTTCTAGTCAGTTGGCCAGGTAGCTGTCTTCCAAATTTTGGGGCATAACTGAGTGAGTGCCTCCAGTGGGGCATGCATTTGTTGAAATATCTCAATGAGTATTCCGTCAATTCCTGGACCCTTGTTCTTTGCCAATTCCTTCATTGCAGCTTTGACTTCCTCCTTTAACACCACTGGTTCTAGATCATGTGCCACAACCTGAAATGGATGAAGATCGACCAGTTCTTTTTGGTATAATGACTCTGTGTATTCCTTCCATCTTCTTTTGATGCTACCTGCATCATTCAATATTTTGCCCATAGAATCTTTCAATATTGCAACTCGAGGCTTAAATTTTTTCCTCAATTCTTTCAGCTTAAGAAATGCCAAGTGTGTTCTTCCCTTTTGGTTTTCTAACTCCAGGTCTTTGCACATTTTATTATAGGAATTGGCTTTGTCTTCTCGAGCTGCTCTTTGAAATCTTTGGTTCACCTCTGTTATCTCGTCATTTCTTCCATTTGCTTTAGCTACACTCTGCTCAAGGGCAAGTTTCAGAGTCTCTTCTTTCATCCATTTTGGTCTTCTTTTCTTTTTAGTGACCTCTTACTTTCTTCATGGACAATGCTCTTGATATCATCCCACAATTCTTCTGGTTTTCGGTCACTGGTGTTCAATGCATCAAATCTATTCTTTAGATGATCTCTAAATTCAGGAGGGATATATTCTAGACCATATTTTGGCTCTCATAGACTTGTTTTCATTGTCTTTAACTTCCAAGTTGAACTTGCATATGAGCAGTTGATGGTCTGTTACACAATCGGCTCCTGGCCTGGTTTTGGCTGAAGATATTGAGCTTTTCTACCTCCTCTTGCCACAGATATAGTCAATCTGATTTCTGTGTGTTCCATCTCATGAAGTCCACGTGTACAGCCACCATTTGTGTTGTTGAAAAAAGGTGTTTGAAATGAATAAGTCGTTGGTCTTGCAAAATTCTACCATGTGAGTTCCAGCATTATTTCTGTCACCAAGGCCAAATTTTCCAACTGCCAGTCATTCTTCTTTGTTTCCAACTTTTGCATTCCAGTCACCAGTGATAATTAACACATCCTGATTGCATGTTCAGTCAATTTCAGACAACAGAAGTTGATAAAAATCTTCAATTTCCTCATCTTTGGCTTTGGCGGGTGGT